CAATAGTGTAGCTTCATCTAGCTAAATATTATTTCTCCGAAATAACTAAAAAAAACCTTAAAGAGTATTTTGATCTAGTCTTAGTTAAATGCCTATTTCTAAGGAGAATATAGTTTTTCTTAATATCGTACCAAGTGATATTCAACTGTAGGCCCTACTACTAGTTTGCTAAGCACAGGTTTACTTATTATTTAATTAGGATCGCTTAGTTTGATGGTTGTATGTTTATGGGTAAACCCCGTACACAAGGTAAGGCTCACTTTAATTTAGGATGCAATTGATTGAACGATTCGTATGTTTCGCGTTTATAAAAAAAATACTCAAAATACAAACTATTACACATATTTCTAGAAAAAATTCTGTGTATGGAAAATTGACAATAATGAATACAAATGCTGCTGCGTGATTTGTGGTTATAAAATATTTAGCTTAAGAAATTTAGAAATATTTAGAGCTTTGTCATGCCACAAAGCTATTTAACCGTTCTAGTCTTCCCCCTATAGCCCCATTATTGCCATTTGCAAATGCATGATACAAACTACATCTTGAATTTCCATAACGTAATTTGGTCAAGACTGTTTATCCTATTAGCTTGGAGTACATTTAATATGTATTTATATTTTCAGGAATCCGAAACAACTATTGCAATTTTCACCGAGTTAGGGGTTGCTATGATATTGCTTAAGTAAACTGTATTTGCTTTTTTTTACACTGTTAACCAGTATTTCGTTGAAGTATGTAACTTTCATTGTCATTTTTAATTTTTTTTCATTTTGTAATTTTCTATTTAGTAATATTTGATTTTCCAAGTATTCTTTTGCTGGAATTAACCTAACGTCGTAACTTATAAGAGATGGTGTGCTAGTGACAGATAATGCCCGAGAGTTATTCTGTGTTTCTTGTTTATAGTCCCCCAGCGTGTAATCATTTAAAGATAATATACGCTGTATCATATTGCTTAAATGATAGCTTAAACTAATCTGTAGGGCATGAAATATACTTATAGAAGAATGAGGTACTTTTGTTTTAGTAAATAGAATTAAATTATTTAATCAGCAACATTGATGAGTGGCACGAATACTGATATTGACCACTTAATTGACGAAATCAACTGTTTTAGCTATAGTATATGTTATATATTTTGCTTCTGTACTTTTTATAAATTATCCATGTGTTAATTATTTACAATTTTCATATCATAATATTTACTATTCAGTTATGAATAAATAATTATACAAGTTACAAGTGCTTGTATTTATTAATTGGCGACGAGGATAAAAAAAAAGAAACTACACTTTACTACCTTCAATTTTTTACATTTTATTATTTAATTACCTATTTTAATTGTTCATATCTGCACTAGTCAACTACATAATGGAAATATTACATAACATTGATTCAATAACAGATTTGAAGAAAGTACGGGCTATTGTAAAAGGCCAGATTACAAAGGCAGACAGACTTTTAGATGATGTATCCACCATACCAACAGAAGTCTTACAAAACAGAATGGATTTATTAGAAGAAAACTGGAAAAGATTTGAGGCGGTTCAACTGAAGATAGAATTGAAGTCAAAGGAAGAAGATGTTGATGAAGAAGTTAGATACAGAGTTGACATGGAAGAACGATATTACAAAGTAAAAGATCAGTTACAAATTAGAAAAACACAAATAGAACTAGAAAAAGATCTGCAACAAGGTAGTACGACCAACAGAAGTAATCATATGTACCATTCTCTTACTTCGGCTATATCATTCACTCCTTTTCAAGACGATGAAACGTTCAAGAACTTCATCAGGCGCTTAGAGATTTTTATGCATTTACATGGACATGGACTACAGCCCAGGGACAAGGTTTACACCCTTCTTCATGCCTTGTCTCCTACCCTACATCAGAAATTGTATGATTTGTGTGCGCCTGAGAACCCACTGGATAAGACCTACTCAGATCTGGTAAAGTTACTATCAGATTATGTTGACCCTCAGCCGAGTACATGGGCACTGCAGCATAGGTTTTTATCAAGAGTACAGGACCCATCAGAATCGGTGAAAATGTATTCTGCTGAACTCCAAAAATTAACAACAGATTGTGATTTTTCATGTGAGAATTGTGGGAAAACCATAGCCAACACACTTTTACGCATGCAGTTCATCAGAGGAATTAAGGATGCTAATGTTAGAGCAAGGATACTACAAGAAAAAACAACTAAATCATTTCAAGACGTTGTTAAATTGGCAACAGCAATGGAACTAACCAAAGACGAAAGTTTTCTGGTCAAAACATCAACGGATTTTACAAACAATACTGTTCACATGATTGGAAACAAAAAATCGAACTATATACCTAAGAAATCTCAGCCTTCACCCCTTGACAAACTGAAAGGAAGGTGCTACCGCTGTGGTTCACGGGACCATAGAGCCAACAACTGCAAGTTTGCTTCTGAAACGTGTCACAAATGCAAAAAGCAGGGCCACATTGCCAGTGTCTGTATGCAAACAAAGCATACAAAAGTTCACCAGACTGAAGAAGATGGAAACGATAGTTGTCAAGAAGAAACTCATGAAATTTACAAATTGAACAATAGCAGTAGTGATAAAATACTTATTGATATTTTGCTAGAAGGGAATCCAGTCCAGATGGAGCTGGATACAGGTTCAGCCATCAGCACGTTACCATATAATATGTTCAAGAAACTTAACACAAACAGAAGACTTTTCAATACACAGCTACGACTTAAAACGTATACAGGTGAATTATTCAAGCCCAAAGGCGTTGTGTTTGTTCAATGTTCATACAAAAGCCAGAGTTTTATGGGTAAACTCTATATTGTAGACGGTCACTTGGATCCTATTTTCGGTCGAGACTGGCTACGGGAAGTAGAGTTGGACTGGAAAGAAGTAAAAGCAATCAAACAAGAAACTGGAGGACGTTTAGATGAACTTCTAAACAAATACAAGGATGTTTTCGAGCCAGATATAGGCCAAATACCTGATCAACTTGGCCACTTACAACTGGCACCTGACGCTCGACCAATATTTATGAAAGCAAGGCCAATACCTTATTCTTTGAAACAAAAAGTAGAAGAGGAACTAGAGCGCTTAGAAACTTCAGGAATAATAACAAAGACGGACAATTCTGAATGGGGAACACCCATAGTACCAGTAATGAAACCGTGAATGAAACAGGTGAAATTAGAATATGTGCTGATTATAAGGTTACGGTGAACAGACAAATTCAAGACGAACACTATCCAATACCGAGAATTGAAGATATTTTTGCAAATATGAGCGGTGGCAAGATTTTCTGTACTCTGGACTTAAAAAAGGCTTTCTTACACCTACAAATGGATGAAGCAAGTGCTGACATACAAACCTTAAGTACACATAAGGGACAGTTCAGAGTTAATAGACTCATGTTCGGCGTTAAAGTAGCTCCTGGAATTTGGCAAAGAATCATGGACAAGGTCTTAATGGGTATAGAAGGCACTCAATGCTTCTTCGATGACATAATCATCCAAGGAAAATCAGAAGAAGAGTTGCTCACTCGGTTGGAAATGGTACTTCAGAGAATATAAATGAACGGACTAAGAGTAAATAGAGATAAATGCAAGTTTCTACACAAACAAATTGAGTACTTAGGTCACACTATAGATGCCCACGGAATCCACAAATCAGAAGATAAAGTTAAGGCTATCAGGCAAGCAAGAAGACCCCAGAATGTTAGTGAACTAAGAACCTTCTTAGGTCTTGTCAACTATTATAACAGATTTATCGAAAACCTGGCAACGATTCTCAATCCGTTACATGGACTACTGAAAAAGGAGAAGAAATACAAGTGGACAGATCAATGTGAACAAAGCTTTCAGAAGGTCAAGGAGATCATTACAAATGAAATTGTCCTTACTCATTTTGATCCAGTCTTACCTTTGGTATTGGCAACAGACGCATCTCCGGTGGGACTTGGTGCAGTACTGTCACATAGATTTCCAGATGGAAGTGAAAGACCCATAGCCTTCGCTTCAAGAACACTGACAAAACCGGAAGAGAAATATAGCCAAATTGACAAAGAGGCCACTGGAATTTATTGGGGACTAAAAAAGTTCTTCCAATATTGCCATGGACGTAAATTCATCCTAGTAACGGATCACAAGCCATTAGTTACAATATTCAATCCTGATAAAAACCTACCTTCTATGTCAGCTACACGACTTTTTAACTATTCACACTTCTTATCAGGTTTTGACTACAAAATAGAGTTTAGACGAACAAATGATCATGGAAATGCGGACTTCCTTTCAAGATTCCCTATTGAAAAACATTCAAATACCAGCATGGACCAGACTGATGTTTTCTATATGAACCAAATTGCAACAATCAACCTAAACCATAACCTAATTGCTCAAGAAACAAAAAAGGATGAAAACATGCAACACTTGCTACTAGCTTTGGAAACTGGAAAATCGCTGGAGCACCATGGTTATCATGACGGTGAGCTATGTCTACATGATGGTTGTATCATGAAAGGTTGGAGAGTAATGATTCCTAGATCTTTACAAAAACATGTCCTCGAAGAACTACATTTTGGTCATCTAGGAATGGTAAAAACCAAAGCCTTAGCACGAAGCTTTTGCTACTGGAAAGGTTTGGACAAAGATATAGAAGATAACATTTCAAAATGCAGACAGTGCAGGGAAAAACAAAATTTACCGAAAAAAGAAATTAACCATCCCTGGGAGCCAGCAAGTGAACCATGGGAGCGGGTCCACATAGATTTTGCTGGGCCGACCAACGGAAATTACTTTCTGTTGGTAGTAGACGCATTCAGCAAGTGGGTTTAAGTCATACCTACGAAAAGTATTACATCTTCATGGACAATCAGAGAGCTGCGTAAAATATTCACCACCTTTGGACTACCAAGTGTTATAGTCTCTGATAATGGTCGTCAGTTCACCTCTTCTGAATTTAGTAACTTTTTGAAGAAATGTGGAACTTTGCACAAAATGACAGCTCCTTACCATCCTTCTTCGAACGGCCAAGTCGAACGCTTCGTACAAACGATAAAGAAACTTATCAACTGCATGTCAGACGAACCTGGTACACTGGAAGAAAAGCTTCACCAACTGCTGATGAAACTACGTCAAGCTCCGAATTCAACTGGTAACAGCTCATACTTCTTGATGTTCAATAGAAGGATCCGAACATACTTAAGTTTACTCTTGCCTAAGACAAAGGAAGAAACAAAACAACCCAAAGGAATAGTGAGATATTTCAAACCAGGCGAACGAGTACAAGTACGGAACTATTCCGGGAAATGTAAATGGGGTTACGGAAATGTCCAAAGTAGAGACGGTCATGTTCACTATTTTATCAAGATGGACGATGGACAAATTTGGAGACGCCACATTGATCAAATGTTGCGTACGAAAGTTTAAGGGGAGGCCATTGTTAGGGGGAGACCACTGTTATATATTTTGCTTCTGTACTTTTTATAAATTATCCATGTGTTAATTATTTACAATTTTCATATCATAATATTTACTATTCAGTTATGAATAAATAATTATACAAGTTACAAGTGCTTGTATTTATTAGTATATTTATATAACAACTTGTTATATCCTAGATAGTTCACATGCAGAAAAATATAACTAAATCAATCCCTTTCTGATAGACCCTAGCGCTAAGTGTTATCCAGAGTCGACGTAACAATAATTACACGTGGGCCAATCACTTAGCTCTATGTGACGTCATGATTGGTACATTAACTTGCAGAGCACCTAAGTCCTGATTACTACCTGTTCACCTAGTTAATTTGCCATTGTGACATCCACTCTTTACAACAATTCTATTTGAGATTTAAATTGAAATGTAACCAGGTTACAAGGTGGGAAACATTTTTACTTATTTTGATACATGTATGTACTACCTACAAATTCATTTATAATTTTTAATCCATTTTTAGAATATTTTTAATACAAATTCATAACGTATAAATAAAATTGTGCTCTTTTGTTTGTTTTCAACTTTAGTTGCAGGTTTTGTTGTCTTTAAAAACGGGCAAGTTATACGGTCTAGAACTGCCTCTGTGTCGGAGACATAACTGTCAACGAAAAACCCTGTATCATATTTATAAAATAGTAATATGTTACATTTTAACATTAGTAACTTATTTCTTAAATCCAGATACCAACTGTACAAACAAAATCTATCTATACTATTATAAAAAAGAGGTGGCTGCTGTATGTGTGTATGGGAAAAGTAAACTCGAAAAATACTGGTCGGATTGGGCTGAAATTTGGCATGATGATAGCTCACATTCCCGATTAACATATAGGCATATTCTTATTTCAAAAATCCTTTCGGGCTCCACCCCAGTGGCTCTGGAGTTTCCCATGTTAACCTTATGAGAAATGGAATTATTGAATCTTAACAGCTGTTTCAATTAAACAAGTTGGTTCTGTTCTATGATGTTCAATAGCATTAAAGTTACAAGGCTTACCAACAGGGTGCAGCACTATTATTTCTTTTACATTTATGACAACAGCTAATTTGCAACCAAAAGGTGAGTGAGCGTAGCGAACGAACTTCAACCTGGAGGCGAGTTAGCGTAGCGAACGAGCTAACCTGAAGGCAAGTGAGCGCAGCGAACGAGCTCCAACCTAAAGGTGAGTGAGCGTAGCGAACGAGCTCCAACCTAAAGGTGAGTGAGCGTAGCGAACGAGCTCCAACCTAAAGGTGAGTGAGCGTAGCGAACAAACTTCAACCAGGACGTGATTGAGCCATGCGAACGAGAAAATCTTGAAAATTAAGAAGTTAAACGGGGCAAAGCCCGCGGGTTACAGCTAGTTTACCATAAAAGTGAGTTAACTAACATTTTGAGATATCAGCTGTTTTAAAAACTAGTTTTAGTGAAACAAATTTCACCATCTAGAGCAAGTAAGACTCAAACGGAAGACAAAAATGTTTAAAACCATCGTCATGCTATTCAGGTAGTCTTTTAATTTCTTAGAAATGGAGATAATATTAAATGCAACCTTTGAAGTACAATAAAACTCACAGTTGTAAGTAAACCAGAAGTAAAAATGGAAATTTGTAAACCCATGTAAATCAAAGTGATACTGCTAATTCATTAAACACTAATAATACAATACCCTCGTGAAGATATATATTTTTTGTCATTTAGTTTAATAGCTTTTAAATAAATATGTAAGATACAATAAAAAATTTATGTGACAAAGTTAAAAAAATATACGTATGATATAATATGAGAAACCAATGATTACAAGCAGAAAACCTAAAAATTGCAAAAAAGGACAACTAAAAACCTTTATAGGCTGAAATGGTCAACCCTTATAAACTGAAATAATAAACATGAATTGTATTGTCATGGAAATGAATAGTACAGAGAACCGATATCGAGCTAAAAGGTGTTTTTGGAGAACAAAACTATATTCATCGTGAAGCAAATCCATGATCAAAACCCTGTATCAACGTGACAATCGTTTGGGAATATGCCGTCCCTCATATCTGTTCGGTGATGTACAAAGACTGTAGATAGCTATGGAGTGTGTATACGTTGCCAAGGCATATTTCCCCAGTGATACACGATACACATTCACTTAATTCCAATTCTAGATATTGTGACATTTCTGTTAGTTAAATATTCTTCTAGAATACAGCTTGATAAAAAACTGGTATTTTATGAACAAAAACGTTTCTCCGTCATTAGTCTTTAAGATAAAAGTATAAATAACTGTGTCACGCAGTCATTTCAATATTATTTCAAAAACATTATTTTCACAAGGGGTTTTTGGTAATTACTTGTACAAATGAAAGAAAAAATACCCCCGCCGCAGCAAACCTGCAGACTATGCGAATTTCCTTTTGACTGATTTGATTTACACTGAAATGTCTAGTTAAAAATATATTCCCGATTTAAAAAGAATTAGTTTAACAAGTACTTAGGTTTGCTGCATCAGGGAGGGTAAAACTTTTTTTTTGTAAAATGTTAATAGTTAGTAAGAAATAAAAACATTTTCCAAATTTTTATTAAAATATGTTCATAAACAAGCAAACTACAACAGTTTACTTATTCTCCATAAGAATAACATGGGAATTTTAAATTTACAATTTTTTTTGAATTTTCTCCGTAACCATTAGGCGCATAATAACGCTTCAATATACTAAATTATTTGTTTTTTTTAAGCTCTACAAAATAGTTTGGAAAGAAATTGCTAAATTTTATGTTTTTTGGGTCAAAAATGGGAAAAACCTATTTTTACCCCATAAAACCCCCCGTAAACCCCCGTTCCCATGGTCCGATCATGCTGGATCGCGAACTCGTTCGAATAAACGTAGGTTTATACGTTTGTACCAAATTTCATCAAAATCGGATAATTTTTGCTCGAGTTATCGTGCTAACGGACACACACACATATATATATAAATATATATATAAATATATATATATATATGAATTTTAACGGATGGTGTTTTTGGCCTGTAGGGACCTCAAAACGAAGAAAAAAATCGGTCCCGCGTCCAGGTCTTACCATGAGTACTACGGTAATAGCTTATTCCCTATATGGGAAATTCGCTAAAAACACAAAAAGGCATTGCTAGTTAATTCGTTAATTAGTTTTTAGCGTTAATTATATCTTCTTTAGATTTATATCGTCCTTTATATAACGCCAACACCTTGTGACTCATATTTTGCAAGAAATTACTATTGGATCAAACACACCTTAATTTAAATAGAAGTCCATTTGATCAAAAAGTGTATAAATAAGTCAGTGGGCATGTATATTGCAGCACATATGTAATATGCCTGTGACGTATTATAAATGCATGAAATGGTTCTAGCGTTGATCTAAAACAATAAGAATAGCCTAGAGTCTATGCTAAAGGAAATCATCAATAAGTATACAAATGGTTCAATATATTGTTTTCTGGTAAATTTGTATTATAATGAGAGCCAATAAAATATGGGTCCATGGGTGTAAACGTCATTGACTTAAGCAAAAGGGCATATGAAAACTAAAAATTCCAAACTATTACTAAAATCCAAAAATATTTTATTCAATCGTTTCTTTATTCTTTAGTTCTTTCTTAACCCGAAAATATATACTATATACTAGTATTACACCACATAAAAATTAACAAAGTAAAATTGTACCAATTATTATATAATGTCTCAAATAAACGCAATGTCTCAGAAGACGATACGTACATATTCAGGTACATAAATCAGTTATTTGTAATCAAAAAGGACGTAAAACATTAAACAGATTAAAATGTACTGTTTATACATATAAAAATAAGCAAGCAAAGAATAATTGTAAAAGTAAAATAAAAAATTAATGATGTAAATTATAGCATTGATACTAATAAATCAGGGAATCAAACCCAAGTTCTGTATCCCTTTAGGTACAGAAACTTACTGACAGGAAACCAGAGTTGTCTAGGTGTTCATGACGAGCCACGGGCTTTTGTATCTCCTCTGGGATAAAACTTTGTTTCCATTCTATCCATGAAAATAGTGCAAGACAAAGCATTAGTTTACAACGTACTAAAATCAAATAAATACCTGACAGCATGTTTTGTATTTTGACGTTATATTATTAATATTATTGGTCGTCTTAAAACTTGTTTGATTGATAAGACAAATAATTATATAAAAATATACAACTTTTGTATTCCACCAACTTTATTCGTGGGTAAACTAAAAGTAAATTAAGCTCACATGCCTTAAACCTATGAATTTGAATTTACTTAGCAATGTTTTTTATTTCATTCACTTCTCTGGTTTAAATGTAGTAGTTTTCCCTACGACCTAATTTTCAGCTAAAGGGACCGCTGAAGAGTGTTCGTTGAGGCGTTATGCTCCAAATAAGAGCGGAAGTAAAAACTAGTTAGTCAAGTTTTCAGCAAATTTTTAATCCATCATCAGGTTCCAGTGTGTGGTTAGTTCATCGGACGTCCATAGTTGAGTCTAATGGATTACAATAGTCCAATATTATAGTCCACATGACACGAATACAAAACAAATGTAAAACAACGCAAACCATTTTCATTTTAGGGGGTATAGCTTATTGATTCGAGTCTCAAACTTCGGTGAGGAGGGCAAGGTTCGAATCAAGGCATATTCGCAAAACTTTAATGCGTAAGGACCGCTTTCCGAACAGTATTTGAATTCACTTAAATAAAAATACCACTGACGTAGAAAAAAGTAAAAACATAACTTCAAGTCTTATTGTTT